AGTGTGTAGGGATGGTACCTTGCTCAGGGGTACCTCAGGGTAGCAGTTCAGTGGATTCAAACCACCGACCTTCCGATCATGGGGCCACCACTCTACCTACTGAGCTATCCCTGCCTATAGGGCTCAGGTCTTACCAACAATATAAACAATATCAGCATCAACTGAAACTACCTGTGGGAGAATAGTTACTTCCACAGGTGTCACTTACTTTTCTAAGCTATAGAAAATCAAACATTTTTACTATGGATAGTGACATTTGGCATATTGTATTATAACTGAATGTAGATTATTAACCTCTACCTTAATATTCCATTAAGGAAATCAAATATCAAACAGTTTCTACTTGTTTTTTACACTAAAAGCAGTACATTTCTCTTTTTAAACCTTATTGTTTTTCAATACTCCTGTGGGTCAATTCATTATGCACAATTCATGATGTACAACATAATGCATACATCTCATAGACAGGTCTTATTTACAGAAAATTGCTTTTAGCGTGCTTCATGTAAATATGTCAGATATGCTTCCACCCTTAATGATTGCTTGTCGTTATGATGAAAATTTTAAGTCATTCCAGAGAGTTGGAAATAACATTTACTTACTCTTTCTTCTAACAGTTTCTTTTAATAACTTAACATACCCCAGTATCTATGCCAATCAAAGGAATAAGGTACCACTATGTCAGTAGCTAAAAAATAATGTACCTATGTACCCTAAGTGAAAGAAAATCTTATTATACATGATTATTTTGAGGTCTTTTTAAACCACAGTTTTCAATTTAAGAAACCATTTAAGCATCTCATACTACTTAAGTCACAGTGACCCTCATACAAAGTCCACTAATCTTAGCATACCAAAGTTATCTGAAGTTATCTAGAGGCTGGTAGTGCTGAACAGCAATGTGGGCAGTTAATAAGCCGATGATACCCTAGAGACTTTATAGAGAGGGGTGAGAGAAGAACTAATACAAGATTTATTGTTGAGTGATAAATGTATTCACATTAGGAGAATATTAAAATCCAGAAGTGCTACCACAATAGTAACCAGAAAAAAGTGGTGTTACAACATGGCAAGGACTTCTGGACTTTGTGCTCTTAACTATTACTGTCATCTGACATCAGTATATATACACGGAAGCACTGTTCCAACACACTCACACATACACTAAACCTCAAGAGATACACAAGCCCAAAGCAGGTGAGAATCTCACTATGTTTTAAACAACATTTTAAGAAGCAAATCTAAAAGTTATGACCTTTTTAAGACTACTTAAAACTTAATCAGACTGTTATTGTTTTTCAGCTAGTTGCAGTCATGAAGGTGTTTATGGTACTAGTCGTCGCAGCGCTCTCTGGTAATTTTCAAGCTTCTTAATTATATCCCAAAAACGTGATTCTGTTGATCTGGACGTAGCATTTTCACTGAAAGAATCCAAGTGTCAGCCAGTTGGATGAGTCTCTCACAGAGACTAAAGAAGTCACTTGGATGAATGACAAACCCTTTTTCTCACTGAAAACGCTACATCCAGATGAACACAATCAACTTTTTGTGATTTCCTTACCTGGATGATTGAGCATGCATCAAGACTTTCTGATTATAGTTCAAAGTTAATGGCAATGGCAATAATTAACTGAACATCTGTACTGTTCTCACACCACGCGTGTTTCCATCCAACAGGCTGCCATGCCAACCTTTTCTATGCTGATGCTCCCAAGCCACAGTTGGAAGTGCTGAGCGATGTTTTCTGGGATTACATTGCCAAGGCCACACAGACAGCTGATGATACACTCCAGATGATAAGAAACTCTCCAATTGGACAAGAAGTCAAGTAAGTTCTTTGACACACTGCACTAGCATGACTGGCCCTATGATGAGCATATGCCTCATGACTGTTATTGGGTCATTCAAGCCACTGATGATCTGGCAATCACTATCTGTCCTCTAGTGCCCGGCTGACAGAAAGCGCTGACTTAGCCAGCAAGTATGCAGTCACCCTCCAGGAACAGCTTCAGCCTGCAGCCCAGGACCTGATCACCAAAGTTACCACAGAGGCTGATGTGTTGAGAGAACGTGTCACGCAGGAACTAAACACAGTCAAGGAGAAGCTCCAGCCCTACACTGAGAACATGCAGATCCAGGTTCATCAGAGAGTGGAGCAGCTCAAGCAAGAGTTGGTTACTTATGCAGATTCCCTGGACTCTGAAGCCCTAAGGACCACCCTGATGCAGAAGAGTGAGGAGCTAAAGACCAGCTTGGAGCAGAGTGTAAAGGATCTGCAGTCTCAACTGGGTCCCTACACAGATGACCTGAAGCAGAAAGTGGACCAGCACCTGCGGGACTTCCAAAAACGTGTTGCCCCTATGACTGAAAAAGTCCATGTAGAGCTCACTCACAGAGCGCACCTGGTGAAACAAATGGTTGCCCCTTATGCAGAAGACCTTAAGGAAAAGCTCGACCCCTATGCCCAAGACCTCCAGGCCCAACTCATGTCCCTCTACCAGTCCTTTGTCAACACAAACTAAGTCACCCTCCATCTACTATATCATTTTCAAAGACTTGCTGGTCTACCTCTGTTTTGAAGAAATACAATAATTGAATATCTGACAATATTAAAGTCTTTGCACCCCACCCTCCACCACATTATTTATGGATAAGTGCAAACATATTAAAACAAATCCCTGCACTTATCAAAAATGTAAATATTCAGTTTTTATTGTGTTGTGACGTTTGAAACTGTGACCCTTTTGTAATTTCACTAAGTTATCTGAAATAAATACAAAAATCTGGAAATTATTCATCCGGCTAACTTTTGTATCGACTTCTCTCTTTTACACAAAGTGAAACTCTAGAAAGAAATCTCATCACGATCTTGTTTCAACACAAACTATGACAAAGTATGATGAGAAGTGGTTCTGAAAGCACACAACAGTGAATTCTTCCATGTGTTTGAGTGATGCACAAATAGATGGAGGGACCACACGGGGTCACAAGAAACAGTAGTGTGTGTGTGTGTCTCTTCATGCATGTGTTTGCTTTTTTTTTCTTTCTTTTTTTCCCCCCAGGAGGCAAAAAGTATTTTGACTCCAATGTCTTAACATGTCCTGGCTTCTGCAAGAGTTTCGGCTTCTAGTTTTCCCAGAGGCACTTTTGATCTTCTCAATGCTTGCCATTAAAACTACACATTACATATATCAACAGCAAAACTAAAAAAAAAGCTGACCAATGTAATCCAAGTGACTAAGAAGTTAATCCCTTCGATTCAAAGAATTTAGGATTTTAGATTGTCATGAAATTTGACATATTTTGCATTTATTGAACCCCCCACCCCCCACAAAACCCTGAAACTGTGCATCATCCTGTTGTTGTAACTGTATAACGCCTGGTCTTATCCCTCTTATCTTGCCCCTACTGACAGTGCCAGCATCCAACGTGGAGGGTCAGAGTCCAATAACAATAACAACGCATTCACATGCACACAACACACACGAAACATCTGTTTCCTGATTATTTACTACTGCTCTGCTTTGTTTTTGACTGATTCAATGGGCAATTTACTTGTATGTCTAAAGGTCTGTCCTACATAAATAAATCTAAATCCTTAGCATCCATTCTTCCCTAAATGCAGTTAGTGATAAGGATTGCATTCAATGAGAGACACGCTCCTCAAATTGCTATAAAAGCTCCGTGAGACTTTTGAAATGCAAATCTGATCACAAATATTTGTGTTTCAGCCTGTCTTTATACCTCATTAGCACTTGTGTGGGGAGCAAAAAGAACTATTCAGATTCTCTTATCAGTCAAAATGGCCAAAAGGTATTGTTAAGGAGCCTTTGCTGGTATCTGCTCCCATTAAACTCTACAACACAGTCCACTAGGTTCTTTTTTTCTTTTTTTCCCCCGAACAAGACACATCTTGCCTTGTACACCACGAAAGCAAACAGCGATCTGATTTTGTTTTGATGTAGATAACAGGTTGTTACTAGACCTTTTCTTCTCTGATTGACAAGCAGTGATAAGATAAGTATCGCACGTCATTGGATCATTAGAAATGATCTCAGGTCATGGCGTTTGTTTCTCAATCATATGAATATGGCCATGCTTTAGAGCAGTGTTGTTATGAAGAGACGTTCTTGACAAGAAAGAAAAATCTAACATAACAATTTCACCTAGTACCTGGAATTTAGAATCATTTGAAATTGCCATGAGAAAACTGTTGTATGCAACATATCATCATTTTCACATTTTCCATGCCAGTGTTTAAACCTCCAAATGTACCTCTGCTGGAAACGTTTGGTTACAGCTCTGGAAGTTTTCAGAGTCCCCTATAAATACATCATAAAACAACCTCATATGTTTTTGTGGGTTTTTTTTTAATTTTCTGCAAGTTTTCAGAGTATATTAAGGAAAACTAACTAAATATGGATTTTTTTTTTAATAATTTAGGCAATGATCAATTATTTAAATATTTGATTTACCACTTTGTGCAACTAAACATTTACATTGATCAGTCCTAGTCACCAGCCTAGAGGAACACATTCAATTCTGCCATGCTGGTGTTTTCCTGACATGGGCAGCTTGTCCAGAACCCTTCAGGTCATGGTTTTGACCAGAACATTTCAAAGCACTGACTTTTAGTTTTCTTTGCCCCAAGAGGATGTTGTCTTATTGTATGGCCCATTTTCTATCTTGAATTTCCTCCCTTTGTACACAGTCTAGCTTTGCCGTTCCCACGTGATGGCTATCAAGTATCTTGGTCCTGTGCCCAAGATGGCACCAGTGTGTTGGGCTTGCCATCTAGCTCTGTTCCTGCTGTGTTTGTTTGTGCTATTTAGGCTATTTTTTATGTGCTTGAGTTTACTCTCTTTTAGCGTACACTCGCCAAACCTGTGTCTGTGGCTACACAAAAATATGGGATCTTGTTTTAACTCGCGGTTTACCGGTCTTTAACTTAGAGGTCTGTGATGCTGTATGGCTGGACCATAAGCCTGTCTTGAGGTTTCCCTTTCTTGTACTAAAGTTAATCCTCCTGCTGTTGCTCAGAGCGGTGGTATTTTTAACCCATCCACTGCTGGTCAGTTCTCTGTTGTTTTTAATCAGAACAGCAGCTTTCCTGATTCTATATTTAATGATCCAGAAGAGCTCAGCTCATGGTTTTACTCAGTCGGTGGCCCCCTTTAAGCTGAAGGGTTCAGGTCTGAATGAAGCCACCCGTGCTGTCAGAAGAAAGTGTAGGAGAGCTGAACGTAAATGGAAGAAGGATAAACTTCAGCTTTCATACCAAATATTACAGTTTTACTGGAATTCATATCAGAAAACTGTTAAGAGAAAACATTTTGCTGCTATTATTCAGGCAAATTCCTGTAAGCCTCACGCCTTATTTAAAACTATTGACACGGTCCTTCATGCTCTACAGACTGTTGGTGTTGACTCCCCACAGGTAATTTGTGAAAACTCTTTCTGAGTTTAAAACTCTTCTTAAAACATATTTATATGCTGAAGCCTTTGGCTCTCTTTTAGGGGTTGGCTCAATTTATTTTAACATGTTTTATTTGATTTTATTCATTTATTTATTTATTTTATCTTATCTTATTTTTATTTCATTGTGGTTATGCTATTTGTGTATGTACAGCAGTTTGTGAACCCTGGTTTTATTTTAAATTGCTTTATAAATAAAGCTGTTATGGTATGGTAATAAATCTTATTTGTTCATGGTTTGTTCATAATTTGTTTTCTGCTATTAAAATCAGAATATGTATGAATATCAATAGTACAACTTTCCTACATGACTGTCATTCTATTTGTTGAAATTACTTGATTTGTCTTTTTTTTATATAACTCCTACTCCTACAGGCTTAAATTCTTCGATATGTACAGATATAATACTCAAATACATACCGCATACTTGGTCATTTTCCTTAAAAAACCTTCAAGTCTAATACTTTTGTTACATTGTTACATATTACTTTTTAGGTCATATCAATTTGTCAATCATAAAAGAAAAAAACAACAACATTAAAAGCTTTTCCTAGCAACTACAATGCCCCATGTGACACTGTAAACATGAAGGTTTTCTGTCCTAAAACAAGGTTACACTGCCATCGAGTGGTAAAGTTTGGACACACCTTCTCATTCAATGTTTTTTCTTTATTTTCACTGCTTTCTACACTGTAGATACATACTGATGACATCAATTATATGAATTGTAGCAAAGAAAAAATTGATAAATAAATATGAATATGTTTTATATTTTAGATTCCTCAAAGTAGATACCCTTTGCTTTTTTGGCATTGCTGCAAACCCTTGGCTTTCTCTCAATAAGCTTCATGATGTAGTCACCTGAAATGGTTTCAACTTTACAGCTCTGCCTTGTCAGGGTTCATTTGTGGAATTTCTTGTCTTCTTAATGGATTTGGGACCATCAATTGTGTTTTGCTGAAGTCAGGTTGGTACACAGCTGACAGCCCTATTTAACAACTCTTAGAATACATATTATGGTAAGAACCAATCAGCTAAGTAACGAGAAACAACAGTCCATCATTACTTTAAGAACTGAAGGTCAGTCAGTCCAGAAAATTGCTAAAACTTTGAATGTGTCCCCATGTGCAGTCCTAAGAATCATTCAGCACTACGACGAAACTGGCTCACAATAAGGACCACCCGAGGAAAGGAACACCAGGAATCACCTCTGCTGCTGAGGATAAATTCATCAGAGTCACCAGTGTCAGATATCACAAGTTAGCAGTGCCCAGATAAATGCCACACAGAGTTCTAGTAGCAGACACATCTCTATATCAACTGATCAGAGGAGACTGTGTGAATCAGGCCTTTATGGTCAGCTGCTAGGAAACCACTACTAAGGAAAAGCAACAAGCAGAAGATATTTATTTGAGCCAAAAAACTCAAGAAATGGACATTAGACCAGTGGAAATGTGCACTTTGGTCTGATCAGTCCAAATTTGAGATCTTTAGTTCCACCCACCATGTCTTTGTGGGATGCAGAAAAGGTGAATGGATGGTCTCTACATGCATGGCTCCCACAGTGAAGCATCGAGGAGGGGCTGTGATGATTTGTGGGGGTGCTTTGCTGGTGATACTGTTGGGGACTGTGCTGAACAAAAGAATGCGTAAATGCTGGTAGTTTGACTGCAAAAAAACCCCATTTTCCTTATTCTTCAGAATGGAAAATAGCACGTCATTGTCTTGCCATGTCTTTTGTCATTGTTGCATGTCATGATAGCTCCTACTGAGAATTCTCGGTACAAAACTAGGTTAAACTGCATCACCATAAGTGCACATGATGTTGATATGAAGCATTATTTTATTGGACCATTAATAATTATTAATAAAAGCTTTTTTTATCCTTTTAATAATTTTATTGAGCAAATAAACCATTATTTATTAAATGTTATACAAATTTGTTGTTATTGTAAAATGTAAATAAAATAATGTTTTTAGTGGTTCAAATTTCTGGACTGCAGTTAGGTCAGGTTAAGATGCACACAAATGTTGCTGTACAAAGTTAGATGATTACAAGTACAACAAGTTAAACTTATCAAATTTACAAAGAATAAAGCTGTAATGTTAATTAAATTAAATTAAAATATAAATATAAATATACAATGAAAATGCACTCTTTGAAATTGAACTCATACATTTTCACAGTTTGTTTCAATAGGTACACATTTGAGCTTTTTCCACATGCCTGCCTCTCATATTATTCAAACTTAATCAAACTACATCCTCAATATTTAGGATGCAAATTTAAAATTTGCAAAGTAAAACATTTTGTCAATGGATAATAATAATTTCTTTTGAACATCATTTTGAATGCACAGAAAATAGGCAGAGATTATTGGTACTGAGTGTGTGTGGGCAAAATAAAATGGCAGCAAATGAAAAAAAAAACTTATTTCAATGCTTGCAATGATGGTAGTTCACCATATCAACATTACCTCTATTTTTTATTATTCAAAATTATACCAAAAGCCAGAATAAGGCTTTGCCTATTACATCTATTCTGTGTTAACCAATAAAGTTGGTCGCCTCTTTGTATGTTTGCAGATGGGTTCTTTCTGTTCTAGAACAATGCCTATCTTTGCTCTAACATAGGGAAATAATTTTATCTGAGTGTTTCAACAGTGTTTTTCTGTGTAATGACAATCATCCACCACATCAGAGATGTTTGTGCAAATTACCAGCATTAACACTTACCATTATTCCCCTTTCCAGGAACCCACATATGGACATGAGCCTCTATTTATCTCTGATGCACATCTCTCATTCCTTTCACATTTTTACAACCAGTGGTCTGTCCTTCTATTCTGTTTGTTTTCGGGGGGTGGGGGTAAGCATAGGCACTTGCACCTATGTTAAACTCTATTAACATGATGAATATTCATAGATTTTTGTTTTACTCTTACTGTGTTTTTTACTAAATCTGAGTGATACCTTCCTCGCGTGTGAGCTAGTCTAAATCATGTGGCTCTAAAGCAGACAGACATACAATGCCTTAACTAAAGGGGAAGAAAAACAAAAGACAAAAACAAAAAACAAAACAAGTGCAAACAAGGATGCTGCTTCAAAGAATGTGGAACAGCTTGATTTCAAAACAAGATAAAATTCTTTCCTTTAGGTGTCAGAAAGGTAAACAGACCGCTGTCACACCCATCATTGTTTTTTGTTATTATAC